GAGGAAATTTTCCCACCCAGGCATGATCAGATGCTCTTGTTACAGACAGACCTCCGGTTCCCCGTGGTTTACCCTCCGTGACAGCTGCACGCTAGAACGTTCCATGCTCGGTCCGGGTCTAGGCCTTCGTCTGCCTGCCGAGCACCCCCCATGGGACAGCAGTGTGGGGGTGCCGTGGGCTCTGCCCCACACCCCACTTCCGGCCCGCGGATCTGTCTCTCAGGGACCAGGAATGTCAGCCGCATCCCCCCCAGCCTCGCCCAGGGCTTCACGAGGTCCAGATAGAGGTGCCGCCAGTGGGGAACTGGGTGCAGGTCCTGGAGGAAGAAATCGCACGGACCGTGATGTCTGGCACTCGAGAGGATAAAGAAATGGTACTTATTGCTATGGGAACTGCGGAACTGCGTGGCTGTTGCTGAGGGCCCTTGACTCACTGATGAAAGACAATGACAGGGAAATTAACACCAATTCAAGGCAAAATGTGAACCGTTTCCACTGCAGTTTCCTGGTCACCTGACGCCTCCGCCCCTCCCTTCAGGAGACGCCCAGCCCCCCCCATCCCGTCCCACCTGCCCACGGTTAAGGCCCAAGGCCCAGGCTGGCTCCTACTTCGCGGTTCCGTCTCTTCCTAGAGCTGGACCCTCTTCTCCACGCCGCAGGGGCCTCCTGGCCGGTCACACGCATCCCTGCTGACCGCCTGGTCCAGGCTCCGACCCCGCCCAGCACGTACGGTCACTGCCAGGGTCCAGCCAGCCCGGGGTCCGTTTCGGCCCTCTGAAACGTGCTGAGCTGGGAGGACAGAGGGGACCTCCAGACGGTGTCTCCTGGCACTGCTGTTCCCACGCTGGCCTCCAGCTCCTGGAGGACGGGGTCACAGGGGCGCTCGAGCAGACGGGCGTGCCATGCAGGCAGTCACCACGCCGGCTCGGCCCAGCCGGGCTGCGGCTCCCGCCCCCGCTGCCCGCCCCACTCCGCACCTGCTGGCTCCACGTGCCGGGCCGGCTTCACCTGCCATCGTGCCTCACGGCCGAGCCCGGCGGCTGGCATATAGTAGGGCACTCGAACACACGTTGTGGGTTAAGTATGAAGTGTATGAACCACGTCATGCTCGCTGTGTATTTTTTACAAAATATTACAAAGTTCCCCTCCATACGTATACACACCATCTCCACAATCTTTGGCTCTCGTAATTTGGTCGTCTGTTCGTAACCTTAGGAAAAATTAGAGAAGTGATTCCCTGCCCAGCTAAGCCTTTCGTAACTGGGAAGAGACGCAGCCCTGCGGGCCACAGACGGGCCGGCTCGTCAGAATCGCCACGGAGGGGACAGGCAGGACAGCCACTGCCGGGGGCCGCAGCGCGGACAGCCACACGGCGGGAGTCTGTCCTTGCGCGGATGGCTGGAGGACATTCTGGCACACGCGACAGCACGGCGGGACCCGAGGACGGGGTGCCGAGTGAAGCCGGCCAATCCCCAAAGGACAGGCCTCGCGTCATTCTGCTTTGACGAGGTCCCTGGAGGAGTCGAATTCGGAGAAACAGAGAGTGGACGGGGGCTGCAGGTTGGTGCCGACCGGGACAGGTGCCGCTGGGGCAGATGAGAACATCAGTAGGGGCCTGGTGGGGAGCACGCGTGGGGGTCGCTCTGGCGCTGCCACCCCGCATCCCAGAGCCACATGATTAGGGACGGGAGGCCGCACTGGGGACCCCTGAGGAAGAATCGGCCTTCTAGCCGGAACGGGAAATATTTAAGAATTGAACCAAACCACTCGAATCCACTCCAGAATGAATAAAATACAGGGCGTAGATAAAACGCAGACGGCATAGCGACGGCCCGCTGGCTCACTGTCAGTCCGCGTGGAGGCCTTCGCTGTGACGCTGGCCCCGCCTGTGCCCGCCTTCAGTCCACGCGTGTGACCCACTTAAAAACAGAGCCCCGCCGGCCAGTGTGGTGGGCAGGTGCCGTTCAGTGTGCTGGAGATTCGGCCGCCTCCGCCCAGCAGCTCCGGAGGGCATCCGAAGGAGATTCTGAGGGCCACTGAGACGCTGCCCGTGCGAACTTCCCGGGCACAGTACTTCTCGTGTCGTGGCAATTTTTGAGTGTTCTCTAGGAAACCTGCCCAAATGTGAACACTATAAATAGGGAAGAGTGGGAAGAAAAGATGGGGACTTGTCACAATGCCACTGAAAATAATGAACTAAGAGTTTTCTAGAGATCCAAAGTTAAAGAGAGATTCATGTTTCCTTACAAATGGAGTAGCAGGCACATCCTCGGTCACGACACTCAGGC